GTTAACTTCCCTAAATAAACCTCCATAATAGTGAGTATTCTCTGAGTTCTGTGCAGCTTATTGCTGGATTACCAAACCCAGGAGAGGGAGTATCTTGGGCAAAATGGTTGGTGTCAGAATAGGGTCAATAATTTTATTGCCAAGATTTTGGGGTTCCCTCTGTATAGGATTGTATCATCTGCAAATAGAGTTTCACTCCTTGTTTGCCATTTGGGATCATTTTCATTTCCCTTTGGCGTTTGATAATTCTGGCTAAGACTACGAGCACAATATTGAACAGAAGTGGTCTTAAAGGATTTCCTGGTCTGGTTCTTGTTTACATGGGGAGCGTGTTTAATTTCTCTCTGTTAAAAGTAATGTTAGCTGTTGATTGTGTATACGTGTCCTTTATAGAATTCCTTTTCTATTCCTATTTTGTTGAATGTTTTAACAGGAATTGGTGTATTTTGTCAAATTCCTTTTTGTGTCAATTAATATGATCATGTGGGGTTTTTCCTTTGCTTTATTTATATGGTAGGCAATATGTTTTTATAATGTTGAAACATCCTGACATATTTAGTATGAATCTCACTTAACCATGATGCATTTTTTAATATGTTATCACAATATAGTGAATGAGATTTTGTTGAGAAATTTTGCATCTATGTTCATGAGATATATCGGTCTATAAATTCTTTCTCCAGAGGATCAGCTGGTGGTTTGGAACCACAGGCCTTCGAGATGACAGCCCAACTCAAAACCACAAGGTGAGTGGTTTGAAACCACCAACCACTTCAGGGGAGAAAGATGAGGCTGTCTGCATCCATAAATATTTAAAGCTGCAGAAGCATAAAAAGGTTGTTCTACTCCATTCTATAAAGTCATTGAGTCAGAATTGACTCAGGGCAGTAAGCACTTGTGGACGAAGATGATAGAAACCCCAGTGGCACGGTGGTAAAACCTCAGTTGCTAACTGAAAAGTTGGTGGGTCGAATTCACCTGCAGCTCCACTGGGAAAAGATATGGCAGTGAGCTCCCATACAGATAGCTTTTTAAACCTAGAAGGCTGTTGTAACAATCAGAATCCACTTGAAGTCAGTGGATTTGGGTTTGGTTCGGATTTGGTTCAGATTTTGAGTACATTCTACAATATTGTACTTGGAAGATTAATATCCAGTTATACAAGTTAGTACAAAGATTCCATGTGTCTCTTCTAAAACAATGTAATAAATACATGTTTAAGAAAATATCCATTTCTAACCGTGCATATTTGCGAATAAATCCAGATGTACAATTTCAATGATGTCCTTTATCACATCACTGTTGGAAGGCACATAACCCAATTCAAATGGAACATTAGTAATAACGGGAATTGCAAAGAAAGCAGGCAGGTCTTCGACAGGTATCTGAGGGTGAATGTGGGGTCCATAATTCTTCACAGGAACAAAGTAACGTGCTAACAAAAGTGTAGCAGCAAAGAGTAATGTTAGCATGATTTCTACAGCTAAAACAACAGCTTGCCGCCTCTACAAGAAGAGAAAAAATAAAGAAATGTTATTTATTTATTTTAAGAAGGTAACTTTGCAAATGGAAACTACTTTTGTATTGAGTTTTTTACAGCTTCACTGCACAGTAATAACAGTTCCCTGGACTGATTTTTCCCTTTCTACATGCCATGCCATTATTATTTCTCTCTGTAAATATCCTTCGGATTGGATAGAGATACTCCCAATCAACCCCCAGCTCTAGAACTGAAAAAATAAACAATATAAATGGAAGTGCAGCCATAATATTTGCTGTAAGCTCATAGTCGTTCTAACAGCTTCATAAAGTTAGTTCAACCTACCTTTAAAGTAAAATTCTTCCAGAGAAGAATCACAAATTTATTTGGTCCCAACATATCCATTCTTCTTAGAAGAGAGGAAGTTCAACTCTATGGAGGGAGCAAAGATTTTTTTAAAAAATGATTTTAAAAAGAAAGAGAGAATAATAAAAGAAAGATTAACAAACTATAAAATTTGGACAAGAAACAGTATCATTACATGATCCTATTTAATTTTCTTTCTTTTTTTTTTAAAGAACTGGAGGAAATTATGCTAAGTACAGTAAGCCAAGCACAAAAGGACAAGTACAACATGAGTCCGCTGAGGTAAGCTCAAAACATCCAAAAGGGCCATAGGGAAGAAGCTACTATATATATACACGTCCCTGGAGTGAAGGCCAAGTAATATGGCAGAGGCCAGATCCTATTTAATTTTCTAATCAAGTTTAAATATAACAAGAAAAATTAGTATTTAAAATACATAAAACATTTGAGATGTTTACTAATTATCCTTAATGTATTAAACATCTCTGAGCTTCTAAGATGTTGTTGTTGTTGTTGTTGTTGTTGTTCTTAGGTGACATCAAGTAGGTTCCAATCCATAGCAACCTGATGTACAATATAAGGAAACGCTGTCCGGTCCTGCATCATCCTCCCAATTGTTCCTATGCTTGAGCCCACTGTTGCCAGCCACTGTGTCCATCCATCTTTTTGAGAGCCTTCATCCTTTTCCCTGCCCTTCTGCTTTACTATGGATGATGTTCTTCACCGGGGACTGGTCTCTCCACATGTCCAAGGCATGTAAGATGAAGTTTTCTCCAGCACCACAATTCAAATACATGAATTCTTCTTTATCTTCCTTATTCAATTTCCAATTTTCACATGCATATGAGGTGATAGAAATTACCATGACTTGAGTCACGCGTACCTTAGTCCTCAAAGTAACATCCTTGCTTTTCAGTAATCTAGAGCTCTTGTGCTCTAGAAAATTTACCCAGTGCAACTTGTCTTTTGATCTCTTGACTGCTGCTGCCATGAGCATTGTTTATAGATCCAATCCAGAAGAAATCCTTGACAACTTCAGTATTTTCTCCATTTATCATGATGTTACTTACTGGTCCAGTTGTGAAGAATTGGGTTTCCTTGACATTGACTTGTAATCCATCCTGAAGGCTGCAATCCTTGATCTTCATCAGTAAGTGTTTCAAAAGTCCTCATCATTTTCAACAAGAAAGGGTGTGCCATCTATACATCACAGATTAATAAGCCTTCCTCCTAATGTGTGGAAAACACCAAACAATGATAAAGATTGTTAAGTGTTGTTGCAAGACTCTGGGTAAATTTACACATTTGATGTTTTGATTCCAAATTAAAACAGTGAAAAACAGCATTTTGGCTGTAATTCTTCCCCCAAAAAATGTTCATGTTCTTCTGGTATCCATAGTCCTTTCAATATTCTTTTCCAACACCATAATTAAATATATCAATTTTTCTGTCATCTTGCCTATTCACTATCCAACGTTTGCCTGCATCCGAGTGATTGGAAATGTGGTGGCTTGTGTCAGATGCACACTGGTAATCTAAAGGGATGACCTTGCTCTTCAACACTTTAAAAGATTGTACAGCAGATTTCCCCAATGCCATCTGTCATTTGATTTAACTGCTGCTTCCAGGAGCATTGATTGTGGATCCGAGCAAGATGACATCCTTGACATCACGCTTCCTCCCCTTATCAGGATGTTGCCAAGATAAGCAATGCAATCATTAAAAGATAACCCAATTTTTAAACATTTTTAAAGATTTAAATTGACACGTTATGAGAGAAGGTATATTAATAAGCAAAAGCACAAGAAAAATTCCAGGACGGTTTACGAAAGTCATCAGTGAACTAAAGCTAAGGTCATAATGACACACACTAGAATGGCTAAAAGACTGAAACACCAAACATCTCAAACATGATTGACTCGGGGCATTAGCAGTGTTTGGTATCTAGAAGCCTGGGAGGCGTAGTGGTTACGAGTTCGGCTGTGATCCACAAGGTCAGCAGATTGAAAGCCCCAGCTGCTCTGTGGGAGAAAGATAGGGCTTTCTGCTCTCTTCAACAGATAGTCTCAGAAGCTCATAGGGGCAGTTCTACCCTGCCCTGTAAGGGTCGCTATGAGTTGCCAATGGCAGTGAGTTTGGTTTGGGTTGGTATCTAGTAGCTAGAGATCAGGGAGGCTGCTAAACAGCCTACGATGCACGGGATAAATCTACACTCAACAATAGTTCATTGGCTTTCTGTTCCTGTAAAGATTCACGGCCTTGAAAGCTCACAGGGGGAAGTTCTGCTGTGGAAGCTCACTAGGTGTCAGAATCAACTTGATGGCAGTGGGTGAGGGTCTATGTGCCTATTATTGTACTTGTACCAGGTTGCTTTGATCCCCATGGCTATATGTTAAGCTTTGAGATGGGCAAGTATGAGGGCCCTATTTTGTTCTTTAAATGCTTTGCTTATCCAACATTTCTTTCCTTTCCATATAAAGTATATAAAAAAATCTGCCATCGAGCTAATAAATGGGAACTGATCAGCTGAAGAGGGACAAGCTGGAGACCAATACTGATGAAGCTTCACAAGGAATAATTTAATCTATCAGATGATGGATGAGTCCAGTAAAGACTTTGAAAGATGAAGGATGAAGGAGCTTCCCGTTTGGTGAAATGCATGAGAGAGAGGATCGTGTCCCTCTATGGAATCTGGAAGTCCTGCCCTGTGACTCCTATGTGTTTCTATATCTGTATACATTTTAATATCTTAAATCTGTTGTTGTTCCCACACTATGACAACTTTTGTGAATTCTGTGGAGTCCCGGTGGCACTATTGGGTAAGCATTTTCCCTCTCCGTGGAAGAAAGATGAGGCTCCCTGCTCCCATAAAGATTTACAGTCTTGGGAATTCCATTAAGATTGACAGGAGTAAATCAATCAGTTTCTCCGGGTAATTTGGGGGCCCTTAGGAGTAGAGGAGAAAGCAGTCTGAAATGGAGGGCTATGTGGATTGTCGTGCTTGCAGGTGGTACCCTGAAACAGCAGAAGGAAACTTCCGGGTTTTCTTCCCTTTGGGCTTTCTAACGCTAGGGCTTTGCACTTTTCATTAAAATATTTGATTTTGTCCTCTTTGAAATTTTCTGTTCATCTTTTTTACTTCATCCTTCCTCCCATTTACCTTGGCTATTCTATGATTAAGCCCGAGCTTAAAACAAAAAATGGGAGAGCAGGTTTCATTCACAGTCTCTTCTCACAGAGTGTGATCTTTCCGTTCTTTCCTTTTTAAACTTTTTAATGACCTTTTGCTTTCTTCATGAATGATAGTCTTGATGCCCTCCCACAGCTCATCAGCTCGTCCCCCATTAATGTGGGATGCATCAGATCTGACTCGTATTTTGGCTCTCGTCAACTTGTTTCCACTTTCTTCAGCTTTATCATGAACTTACCTAGGAGCAATTGATGGTGTCTTCCACAGTCAGCTGCTGGCGGGCTTTTACCTGATGACACTGAACTTCTCCATTGTCTCTTCCCACAGATGTAGTCAATTTGATTTCAATTTTCAATTTGATTTCAAATGTAATCATTTTGTAGTCAATTATATTCCATCTGGAGAAGTCCATGTGTATGGTGTTGTTCAAATAAGACATTTGTTTTTAACATGTTATTGGTCTTGCAAGATTCTATCATGTGATATTCAGCTTCATTTCTATGACTAAGACCATATTTTCTAACTGTTTGTTTTCAACTTCTGCATTCCAATCGCTAAACATGCATCTTGATTGCGTGTTAGATCAACTTCTGATGGAAGATGTTGATAACAGTTTTCAATGTCTTCCTCACTGGATTTCATGGTGGTTGTACAAATTTTTATCAAGTTATATTGATTGTATTTCCTTAAAGGCGGGTCGATATAATCCTATCATAGACAGCACTGTGATTCAAAATAGACATTGAGAAATAGAGGAAAGAACTAGGAGGCAAAGGACATATGTCTAAATACAGGCATGTACATATATAAATATATTTATACATAAGGATAGGGAGCAGACGGACATTGAGCCTCTACTCAAGGACTCCCTCAATGCAAGAACACATTTGGTGAAGAGAGCTGATGGTGCCTGCCTATCAAATGATATAGTATCTGGGGTTTTAAAGGCTTGAAGATAAACAAGCGACCATCTAGCTGAGAAGCAACCAAGCCCACATGGAAGAAGCATATAGTCTGAGGCAACAATGGGATCAGATATCAGGCATCAAAGACACAGAGCAAAAAATCATATCAATGTGAATGAGGAAGAGGGCGGAGTGAAGACCCAAAGCCCACCTGTAATAATTGGACATCCCCTTACAGAAGGGTCACAAGAAAGAGATGAGTTAGGGTGCAGTAAGTATAGCACCGAGGAAACATACAACTTTCCTCTAGCTCTTTAATGCTGCCTCCGCCCCCCACTATCATGACCCCAATTCTACCTTACAAATCTAGCTAGAACAGAGCATGTACACTGGTACTGATAATAGCTTGCAACACAGGGAATCCAGGACAGATACCCCCCACCCCGGGACCAATAATAAGAGTAACAATACCAGAAGGGTAGGGTAGGGGGAAGGTGGGGGGAGAAAGTGGGAACCGATCACAATGATTGACCTATAACTGCCCCCCAGGGGAACAAACAACAGAAAAGTGGATGAAGGGAGACAGCAGATGATTTAAGATATGAAAATAATAATAATTTATCAAGGGTTCATGAGGGAGGGATGGTGGGGGAGGGAGATAAAAATGAGGAGCTGATACCAAGGGCTCCAGTAGAAAGAAATTGTTTTGAAAATGATGATGGCAGCATATGTACAAAAGTGCTTGACACAATAGATGTATGCGAACACTAAAATTCAAATGCATCCGTTCTTCTTTGGTCTTCCTTATTCTTTGTGAAACCACCCCCACCCCCACACACACACACACACCCCCGTGGATATGAGCCTATTGAAAATGCCATTGTTTGGGGAAGGTAGACTTTGAGTCTCCAAAGTGACACCTTTGCTCTTCAACACTTCAAAGAGGTTGTATGTATCAGATTTTCTCAGTG